CCATACACCCACAGTGGCGCGTCGAGCAGTTCTCTCTTCGATTCGGGTTCCCATTTCAGATTTGAACGTTACCACTCACCCTACCCCGAGAGGATGGGGGGGGAATAACTTTTATTATGTTCTTTAAAAATATTGAACAGGTATTTTTTATTTCTCAATCCAATGATCATTTCTGGAGAATTGCGGAAAATATAATTTTTTGCGATTACAGCGCCATCTATCGCGAATCAAAAAAAAAGTTTCGGACAAAATTTACGTATTTTGTGGCGTAGAATCCGTATCTGCCATAAAAAATGGGGGTTTCCATTTAAGATTTCAAAGTTGCCCCCAACCCCCACCCCCAGGGGGTGGGGTGGGAGGTCGAGTTTGGTATCATTGGATGTCTCCTTTCGAGACTAACAACTTTCATTAACCACTTTCTTTTATCCAATGCATAGTTCTCGAGATATTTCAATGTCTTCAGATAAATCATGCACCCTGTATACTAATCACACTACTGAAATTTTCTGTGTACATGCCTCAGATGGAGGGGGTTACAGGACGTCATATTATTTCGTTTTTATTCATATATAAACCACACTGACAATCTCTCTCTCCTAAAGTCAATATTATAATTTATAATACAAAATATAATGAAACATTTGGAAATACCAAAGAAAGCACACGTGTTAATAAGTAATAAAAATCCAGATTATATAAAAGAAGAAAACAAAATATATATATAAAAAAATATGAGATGAATATATGTAGTTTTCAATAAAATGAAACATGATGCACTATTTCGCTGATTAGAGTAGTTTTGTGCACATATTATGCACATTCCAGATTACATGGTACTTATCTTCGACAAGCACCCTATTCTCTAGGGTGAATAGTTAAGCTGTTTTTTCAGTACTGAAAATCTATAATTTATGTATAATATATTATACAGGATGTCCGGGATCTTTTGGAAACGAAAAATTATGAAGATTAATCAGATCAAATTGAGAAGAAAAATCAAGTAGTGTTTTATAAAAATCGTAATAGTTATTAAGTTATTGATTGAAATAGTATATGAATATATACAGGGTGAGGAAAAAATACCGAGACCCCGAAATATATCGAAAATATAATTTTTATGAAAAAACGTTTCAGACAAAAGTTGTAGGGTTTCAAGTAACGCATTACACAGCAATATTAGTATGACCTTGAATAACATTGTTAAGGTCTCGTGAAGGTCTCATCTTAAATTTCTTAAATGGAATCCCCTGTTTTTCATTACATATTCTTGTAGCTTATCTCGAGAGCCTTCTATAACTGAGCACTAACTGAAACACTGTAACTGAATGCTTTTTCCTTAAGTATTTTGCAAGTTACAAGATTTTAAAGTTACAGTACCGCCAGCATTAGCATTACCCAAGCTGTAACTTGTGGAGGTTGTATGCCTGCGCGATTTCGATTTTCTCTTAAAATTCGAAATGAAAGGAATATTAAATATTTCGATTTTCGAATTCGAGCAACAGTTAAGAAACAGTACGTATTAGCTATCGTCACTTGCATTTCATTTAGTCATTATTCTTCAGCATTGTTTTTAGAAAAACTTTGAATTGATCCAAGTATTAATTTATTCGGTTTGACTAGTTCTTCCGCTTGTCAATATGCTACGTCTTTCAGAGCGAGAATGCATATCTCTTCTGATGATGAGAGGATGGAGTGATCGATTAAAGTCGTATAATGATGTAAAGCAGCTTTTTAATGAAACATTTCGTGATCAAGATACTGCCATTTCAAAATCTACTATTGAGAAACCAATAAAGCGTTTTGAGGAAACTGATAGTGTGAAAAATCGTGCAATATCAGGTAGACCTGCATCAGCAACAAATACAGAAAAATTATTAGATGTTTTACAATCCTTCATCGAAAATCCGCATCAAGGCCATACTGATTTGATTGCTGTCTAATGCTTGAAACCTTAAAACTATTGTCTGAAACATTTTTTCATAAAAATTATGTTTTTCGATATATTTCGAGGTCCCGGTATTTTTTCCTCACCCTATATGAATAAAAATCCACATCTAGAAGCTCTTTTAATTAATAATGTAAAAATTTGCGTATTTATTTGCAAAATGGTAAAGAACTTTTTTGTTCAGAATGATCTAATCTACAATTATATGACGGCTATTGTGCCTAGTGATAGGTTCAGGGTTCAAAGCTCAATTTATCTATATGTAATACTACTGCTGGACATAATAGCCATATAATTGTAGATTAGGTAATTCTGAATAAAAAGGTCCTTTACTATTTTGCAAATAAGTATGCAAATTTTCAAGTTATCAATTAAAAGAGCCTCTAGATGTGATCATTTTCAATCATTAATAACTTAATAACTATTGCGATTTTTGCAAAATGGTACTTGAGTTTTTTTCCCAGTTTGATCTGATTAATCTTCATAATTTTTCGTTTGAGAATCCCGGGCACTCTGTGAGATTTACGATATTAACGTTGGATGTCGGAACGCAATCTTAATCCTTTAACTGCTGAGATATTAAATGACCAGTATGATCCTCTTTGCTGAGTTATTTTTACAATTATAAAATATTTTATAATGATAAGAGATGGAACTATATGCCCGCTCAATTCAAATGCTTTTTACAAACTAAATTAAATGGGTATTACACATTGAAAGTCCAAATCAAGTAAACTCGATCGTAGCAAGGCCGCCATTTTTTCCACACTCGAGTTATCTCGACCGTAGCAGTTAAAAGGTTAATAATATATGGAATTTAATATATGGAAGTCTGTAGGCTGTCATCATGGAAGTTCCGCGTTTCGATTAAAAAGGTTAATAGTCTGTCACATGAGACAAGACATCGACGTATCACTATGTACAAACAGAGTGCATTTATCTATCGAGAGATTCGTTTGAGAAAATTACTATGTACTTCAGCAATTGATAATGTAAAGAAGTTAATATGCAGGTTGATAATAATTAACTAAATGGCTCGCGCTATAGTGATATCGCGAATCTGTGATGATCCAACGGCATCTCGATAAAAGTCTTGAATGTGAGGAATCACTCGATATATTTATAACGTTAGGGAAATGGTTAATATAGGAATGAAGTGATTTTTTGGAATTTTTCGTTTTCTTTTTAGTTTTAATTTCTATGTCTGATACTCGTTTATATTCTTCAGTGTCCCATCGAGTATAAAAATTCAAATGGCCGGTGTCGGTGAAACGCGCGCGATTCGCGCGTGGCCAATGAGAGAATACTTCTCTTGAACGCGTCGTAAATAGCGTCGTAAAGCTAACATTAATATTCCTCGGGTCACAGGGAAATGCTCGCGGGACGCAGTGCTGTCTTGTGGCGCAACATCTAAGAGGATAGATAAGCAACATCCTTTAGCGTGAAGACGAGATACCTAGCTTGGAGATCAACTTGACTAACCACTGCTCTTGCGATTCAGGGTAATTTATCACGGTCGAGCGACAGCCGAAAGCTTCCACGACATTACTCAGAACGACTCTCTCCTCCCTCTCTCTTTCCCCCCGCCTTCCCCCTTCCCCTTCTCACGCCTTTTTTTACCTTCGCTCGGCGAATTTGTCCGCAACTCCGATGTAATAAGTCGACAAGGTGTATAGTCGCGAGATCATTACTCCGGAATTATCCGAATGCCCATAACTTCTCCTCGCTAAAACTCCGGCCCGCGCGGAGCCGAAATTCCGACTGGGGGAATTCCAGCGGCATTTTCGGGATTTCTCCGCTATTCGGCGGTTACCCCGCACCCGTAGTTATCTCGCATCGTGGCCTACCTTGCATATCAGCAGGGGATTACGCGGGTACACGAACTGCGTTCGGCGTCGGTTGCCCGATCTCTCTTGCGTCGGCTGAGTGCGGTTGTCCGGTGATCCCGGGGTATAATAATTCGAGGATGAACTGTTGCGAGACCCGTTGAAGGAGGTTGACCTGCCGTACCGCGTATAAACATGCCTACCGGCTGATGCCACTTGTGCGTATATTGAAACAGCTACCGCTACATTTTATCAGGCAACTCGCCCGCACCCTCCACTCGCGGCGATACATTTCCCTTGGCTCTTTATACGCGAACGAAGACAGTTACCTAGCCGTATTAAATAATAATACCTTCCACGGGGGATGGTCTGCGTTTTGTATTTGCTCGGGTTGTGTCTGAGGGAATTATTCGCGATTGCTTGCAAAAAACCTCTTTAGAGCATTAACTTCTTCTTCGCGGAGTGAATGCGCAGTTTTATTAAGCCATCCTTTATACGCTTCGACATAAAACCACTAGCACTTCACTTGGCTCGGAGAAGCCCCTCAAGATAGTTTTTGCCTGGACGTAATTGGCGAGCCATTATCTATAAACAAAGACATTACTGGATTTTCTGACTATTCGAGTCGAGTTCGACTAATCGAATCGAAAAGGAGACGCTGCTGCGGGTTCTTATTTTTATTATATCATCGCATATATCCGGAGACAGAGGGATGAAAATGAATTTTTTTTAAATAACATTGTCCTACGTTAAATTACGATCAGGGATTTGTTATATTATTATCTAGAACAACGGGCGATATGCATTGTATAAAAAGCAATGTAATTTTCGTGTTCTACGATGAAACATAATTTGCGTTAACAATATGCGCGCGATATTTAACAAAGCGTGAGTGAAAAATTAATGCTTAACAGAATTCCCGTCATTAACCGATGTTTTTGGCGAGAGTAATATTTTCATGCAAACAAGCGAATAATAATAAGCGCGGTATGCCTTTAATCAATATTCTACAATCATCTCCCTATTACGCAACTTTAGCGAGCGATTTACGATGGTAACGTAATTATGCGCAATGAAATTCCATTCGAGCCGAATTATTAATTACACGGCTTGTCAGAACGAAACTCGATCGAACTTCACCCTCTTTTTCTCTTCCTTTTAATTCAATAACCTTAACTTAAGTTTTAAACATTTTAATAACGCATACACGCGCGGTGTTTCTGTTTCAGGCTGAAATATGGAGTGTCTTTATCGCAATTCTGAGAAAAAGCGTCAGAAACTTACAAGCATGTACGGACGTGAGTCTCATAGAACACGTCCTGCACCGATTATCTCGTGCGGAAACTGTTGTCGCCGGTAAGTAAATATTTGTTTTAAGTTCGGCGCCGCGCTGTCACTGATTAAAGTCGAAAATAATTCACTGCATTTCCGCAAAGTTATCGTGTGTGATGGACTTCTGTATTTTGTAATTGGGACAGCAATTACTTATCACGCGCACGATACGTGTGAACTTTTGTTATTTCCCCGTCGTTTCCTTCTATAATTATACAATTAATTACATCACTTAATAGCATCTAAATTATCGCTTGTACGCTGCGACAGATTTATTAATCGACATGCTGGGAGTGCTGGCGAGCTACAGTATAACGGTGAAAGAATTGAAACTTTTGTTTGGTGCTATGAAAGCTGTCAAGGGAAAATGGGTAAGAATGATTTGAAAGTCACTCGGTAGTCACACGTCGGATAACCGAATTAATTATTTCATCGTAAGAATATACTGGCGCTTATTGATGGCGTTCGATATTTTTCGCAGCCACGACATTCGGCGAAACTGCTAAACGTCCTTCGCCAAATGCCACAGCGAAATGGGCCCGATGTATTTTTCAGTTTCCCTGGTAGAAAAGGGTCGGTAAGTTGGTTTCTCTCTTCTTATTCGCCTTTATACTTTAGAACAGATACTTTTTACTTTACGACATCCCGGAGGACGTCGTTCGATCCTAAACTCTATCAAAGTTCCGATAAGAGAATTTACCTTGGCTCGCAAGATTCCGCGTGCATTTTCGAAATCAATCACGGCAAGGAACTTCCCTAAACATCGTTATCGCATGCGCGATCAAGCTACACGTATCTGCTGTAGGACGTAACACAGGTGGAGCGGCGCAAGATAAGAAATGCGATTAATAAAAAAAAAGTACAAATACTTATTAGATATCGAACGGTATTTTAGGCATTTCTAAGAAAATATTACAAATGACTTAAAATCTTTTCATAAAGTAGCAAAATACAATTAAGACCACAAGCGTTCAAGCTTTTCAACTATATGTTGTGTACTTGGGCGTATGCTATTAATTTGTTAATTTATTTTCACGATAAAGTTGCTGGTTACTAATCGAAACATTCACCTTATTCAAAGACAAAAGGAATCTGCAGTACTTATTAGGAGATTGAATCAATTCTGGTCCCTAGCAATAGATGGCTTTAGTAACAAGTTAATGGTTAGTACGAATGTTGAAATCTAGCAACACTGAAAGATTTGACATTTCTCTATGACAGACACATGACAGTTTGCGCGCTATTGTTACTGATAGTTTCATTGTTTATATGCATCTAAAATGGATCGTAAAAAATTGCATTTTCGACATTCATTACTTTTCTTGTTTGTTTTGAAAAATTGACAACTGAAGCTCATGAAATTCTTGTTGCAATTTATGGTGATCAAGTTCTATCGTATTCTAACTGCAAATTTTGATTTCAACGATTCAAAAGTGATGATTTTGATTTGAGTGACAAAGAACGTACTGCTCAACCAAAAAAGATTCGAAGATTCTGAATTGCAAGCACTATTGAAGAACATTGCTAAAACGGAAAAACAATTGGCTGAACAACTTAATGTCGATAAATCAACAATTTCTAAACGCCTATACGCCATGGGAAAAATTCAAAACGAAGGAAAATGAGTTCCACATGAATTGAGTGAAAGTGTCATTGTAAATCGTTTGAATATCGTCATATCTTTGCTTGCCAGACAAGAAAAAATAATTTTTTGTGGCGAATTGTAACTGGAGATGAAAAGTGGATTTATTTTGATAATCTAAAGCGAAAAAAATCATGGATTGATCCAAGACAGCCATCAACATCAACACCAACACCAAAAGGGAACATTCACGGTTACAGAGTAATGTTGCTCTACATTTGGTGCATGAAACAGTTATGGGGGAGAGATACCAGCAACAATTGAACAAATTTAATGATGAATTGATGCAAAAAAGGCCAGCGTTAGCTAGCAATAGACGCAAAGTGATTCTTCTGCACGATAATACTCGTCCACATGTTGCTTCAGTCATTAAACAAACATTGTTGGAACTCGAATGGGAAATCCTTCCGCACCCAATATACTCTCCAGACCTAGCAGTATCTGATTACCATGTATTCTGATCGATGCAACACGCTTTGGCAGATAGACACTTCAATAATTACGAGGATGTGCAAAAATGGGATCCGATTGGATCGCTTCGAAAAACAGATCGTTCTATCGTTGCGGAATCGCTATGTTGCCAGAAAGATGGGAAAAAATCACAGCTAACGAATATTTACGAACGGGAAATATTTAGATTGATGTAAATTTGATCATTTCTTTAAAATATAGAGAAAAATATGTTGACGAAATAAAACCAGAATTAATTTAACTTCTTAATAATAACAAAAGATAATCGTTCAATTTTTAGTCTATAATTTGGCTGCCAGGCTATGAAAAGAAAAGAAACAGAATAAGAAAATAATGAAATTAAGAATGATTGGCTGAATATCGTTCTGCTTAACTCGGAAGTCGTCGCTAAGATTGATTTATCCTGTCGCTTGATTTATCTTTGTTTGTCACGCGTTTCGCGCGTGAATTTTAATTTCATGAGATATTTTGACGAGAGAATTTGTTTCGTGTCTTCCACAGGCGATTGTCTTGCCGCCGCTGGCAAAGTGGCCGCACGAGAATGGATTTACCTTCACCACATGGTTCCGCCTAGATCCTATCAACTCTGTTAATATCGAACGCGAAAAACCGTACCTCTACTGGTAAGTGGCTCTCATATCAAGTACTCTCGCGAAAGCACCCTCTCCAGGTGGAGCAGGCAGCCCTAAAGAATCACCTATGTTTCTCAACTTCGAAGAAAACGCTGAGACCTTTCAATTGAATCTCCTCATTAAGGGAACGATTTTGTTTGCACATACAACTGCGGAAAGAACAATGCTTCGGAATTACGGGCTGTTCCTCACGATTTAGTCTAACATAACACCCGCGTAGAGATGATTTAACTGTTTCCATTCATGTTTCTCACTTCCGTCGCTCCTCTCTCTCTCTCTCTCTCTCTTTTCTCTCGGTCTCTTTAAAGAATAAAAGGTAGAAGTAGGGCAACAACAAAGGGGGGAGAAGGGGTGCATAAGCGAAGCGGCTTCGTCGTGAGAATATGAAAGAAATAATGCCCCGTCATTATTTTAGCTTTAAAACAAGCAAAGGAGTAGGATACTCTGCGCATTTCGTAGGGAACTGCTTAGTCCTTACTTCTATGAAAGTAAAAGGCAAGGGCTTCCAACATTGTGTCAAATATGAATTTCAGCCACGAAAGGTACGCTATTAGATACGCTATTTAACTAATGCTTTTCGAGTTGTTGACGTGCGCCTAATACGTTCTTGCGCTAAAGTTTCGCCTAGTTTACGGTTTGATTAATAATGAATCACGCTTTATGTGGGAGTAATATCAATACACAACAGCCGATGACATTCACCTTTGTGTGTTTCGCAGTGGTATATGATTGCGGTAGTGTATATATACAATAGGTGGACGAAAAGTGAAATTAAGTGTCTGGTTAACGGTCAATTGGCATCGAGCACGGAAATGGCATGGTTCGTCTCGACGAATGACGTAAGTAAGCCCCATACCGTACGCACTGTACGTAACGGTAATCGCTTTTCTCTCGCTAATAACGATCCGAGGGAAGATAACGCGTGTCCCTGTTTGCAGCCCTTCGACAAATGCTACATCGGAGCGACCCCCGAACTGGACGAGGAGCGCGTATTTTGTGGACAAATGAGTGCGATATATTTGTTCAGCGAAGCGCTGACGACGCATCAGATATGCGCGATGCACAGACTGGGACCGGGATATAAGGTATAAATCTTTAATCGATCGCGCAGATGCGCTCGTTTCGCATTCATGGACGTCGTATCGTTCATTCATCGGCTGTCTTCTCTTTTCTCTGTTTCCCCGCCGGTTCCGCGTGAGCAGAGCCAGTTTCGTTTCGACAACGAGTGCTACTTGAATCTGCCCGACAATCATAAAAGGGTGAGTGACCAGGATCTCACGAGCATGGTGGACCAAAGTATGCAAATTGTAAGCATTTTGATTTTATTTTCCCCCGTTAACATATGATTTGTACTTCGTTAATTAATCTGTTACTGCGTACGAGTTCGTCTGAGGTAATTACCCAAATTACAAACGCACCTTCTCGGTGGTCGTTGCGACCGATGGGAGTTCATATGTTGATTTGCTTTATATTATTTATTTGTTATACCATATCGGACAAGCGTGCGATATTGTAATTACGAAATCTTGTGTCTGTATTAATGCCTGTTAATTAATATTAATTCCGTGTCTACTATTTGTGTTCCCTCCCTCGAATGCTTATCTCTCCCTTAATTAGTGGATGCCGTTTCTCGCATAGCGAGCGTAAGTTATATGTAGTGCATTTTTGTTGTAATATCGCTTTGATTTCACGTATAACATGCCTTTATGTTTTCCTTTTCCTTTTTTTCGTACGATCTGATTTAACACCAATGGGTTTTTCCCCTTTTAATTGGTGGTACGTAGACCGCGGTCATATGGATCACGAAGAGGCGTTGTTGTTTGATTGTTGTTGATCTTGCGCGAGATATGTCTATGTGTGTTTCCCTTGTGTGTATCTTATTGTGTAGTTACTACTGAGAATCCCAAATATTATACGCCAATGAGATCGATAACTGACTTATTCGTAGAACATTCACCTCGATCCACAGTAATATCTGTTTGCGAACGATTTACATTACAATGCGATAAACATGTATCAAGATATTCCCAGTCGAACGGACAAAACCGTCGCTTACTCAAATGTGTACGCGGTATTTCCAGGTACTTTACGATGGGAAGCTGTCGAATGCAATTGTGTTCATGTACAATCCGGTAGCGACGGACTCGCAGCTCTGTTTGCAGAGTGCACCGAAAGGCAACGTCTCCTATTTTGTACATACACCGCACGCTCTCATGCTACAGGTATATAGTTCAATAATATTATTTACGATCTTGACCAGAGGCGAGTTTATGCACCGTGAGACACGTACAGTTACATGCGAGCGCTTCTTATTCCCTTGACGCTTCATTCGTTACCTTCGCCTCACGAAGGGCGCGCGAAAGGCGAGATAAATTGCAGACACATGGCGCACTAAAATCTACAGGACATCGTTGTTTCGGCTTTCAGGATGTCAAGGCGGTCATAACGCATTCGATTCACAGCACGTTAAACTCGATAGGCGGCATACAAGTGTTGTTCCCATTATTCTCGCAGTTGGACATGCCTTACGACTGCATAGCACCGAACGACGTTAAGCGCGATCCGACGTTATGGTAAATCCTGATACTAATTGTTGTCATATGTACCTCGAGAAGTCACGCGCGCGCGCCTATCTGTGAGAGTCGTGGGGTCGTTAACGAGTGATATTCACGCCGCTTTTCGCAGTTCGAAACTGCTCGGATTCATCTGCGACCTGGTGGAGAGTTCTCAGACGGTTCAACAACACATGGTGCAAAACAGAGGATTTCTGGTGATCAGTTTCATGCTGCAGAAAGCAAGCAGGGATCATCTCACCACCGAGGTCCTGGCGTCCTTCTTGGAGCTCACGAAGCATTTGGTGACTTGCCTCAGCGCAAACAGCGATCTGCTGCTGAAACAGGTACCGATCTGTTAACCGATCAATTGACGAGATTGTCGAATTACTAATTAATATTCTGTTGTCGTTGATATGGTAAATTTTTATAGAAGGAAATTTTTATAGAAGGAAAATTGAATAGAGCACTTTTGGCGAGAATAACTTGAAAATCAGTTGAAGATCACAAAACGATGTGTAATGTTGCGTCGCAACGATTTATTCATATCTTCGAGGAATATTTAATATTTTATCATTTGTTTATTAAATTCCTGCGTGTGACTTATGCAAAAGCAAACCTTTATCCACTCATACATCTGGCAATATCTCTTCTCATATTTATATAACTTTTTTCTTTCGCCTTTTGTATATTCTATCGACTATCCGAAAAATCTGGATTACGTTCATTTGATCAGTTGAACTGTTAACGCCGACGCATCCTGTTCCACCAATTCGCTACGTAATGCAATAGCTTTCTCGCTTTTGTCACGATTGCTCCTATTGAAATGTTCGAAGATGTTTCTTTTCCTTTTTTTTTTTTACATGCGTCTTAATGTATGTGTTTAATGTGCATTTTGTTTTGTGCTCTTGAGACTGTCAAAGGCTTTTCCACAAAGCCTCTCGAGCATGTGACCATTCACTTTCTTCGATCATTGTTATGTTATCCGAACTTTGGATCGCATGCAATCTACCGACTTTTGAGCTTCCTGATTTAAGAAAGTGCCTACGCTAAGTATTTTGTTCACAATGTGTCGCTTTCACATCGAAATTTATGATCCTTGTTTTGCGACGTTCAAAATGTCTCCTATATTTCTGCTATTATATAAAAAACGAATTATGTTTTTGTATCTTCGAATATGCACTTCCTCTCTTTCTCTTCTTTTTACATTTTCTGTTATCAAAACGCTGTTACACGATATTTTATTTTCAACTGCTACAAATCTTTCCAACGTTTGAATAAATTCCGCTATTTAAGTATCAACCAATTTAGAATGTTTTACCAATTTGGAACGTTTGATTTATTTGGTATGAATTCGATATAAAATCTACATGGCTGTGTTTTACTCATAAATAACCTTTTATAATGTAAAATAATTAATCACGTGAATACAGTAATATTCTTTAGTATCGGAATGTACAAATCCACATGTACAGCCCCACACATTCGTTTCTCATATTCTTCCCCTCAGAATTCCAATCAACATGAATGCACGAGCATCTATTTGCACTCATAACGTTTCATATTCAGCCACATTTCTTGTGTAATAATTGTCGTTATATGTAACAGCAATATCATCAGCAAATTGCTTTCAATCGTCTCCATAAGCTTAACGATCCGTGTTTAATATTCATCCCTTTAATTTTATATATATTATTTGTAATTGTCTACGAAGGATTTATATAATATCAATCATCATTTTGATCATACACGTATTTTTCAAAATACTATTGTATTATATCACATACACACACACACACGCACACGCACATACACATACATACATACACACAATAAATATAATCAAATCTTTCTTTATACATATACACGATGAATATTCTGGATCACCTAAGGTTATATCAATTATATAAATTAATACATCGATAAAATAATTAGCAAACAGCTCAGGAAATCATAAAGTCGGCTAGATTGGTGTGTCCGAAGAACAGGCAGATCCATGGTGATGTAGTTGTTTTATTTTTCATTTCTAACATGGCAGCTACTGGATCACGTCCTTTTTAATCCCGCTCTGTGGATATATACACCAGCGCCAGTACAAACGCGACTCTATTCGTACCTGGCCACAGAGTTTCTTAGTGACACACAGATATATTCCAATGTAAGACGCGTGTCGACAGTTTTACAAACGGTGCACACTCTCAAGTACTACTACTGGGTGGCTAATCCTCGATCCAAAAGCGGGATAACACCAAAGGGACTTGGTACGTGTCATTATAAATAGATTGAGTAACATCTCTGCGGAATGTCTATTTATTTTTGATAGACGGAAAGAAAATATAACGATAAGTTTGTACGAGGATATATTTTTCACAGATGGACCTCGCCCGCAGCAGAAAGACATCCTTACAATTCGTTCATACATTTTGTTATTTTTGAAACAACTGATAATGATCGGGAACGGAGTGAAAGACGATGAGTTGCAGAGTATTCTTAATTATCTAACAACAATGCATGAGGTAATTTTCAATCAATTAATTATTATTAAAAATTGTGATTCAAGTCGGTAAATCAATTAATTATTTATTAATATATAATATAAAATTTGATGGCGCGATGCGCTATGCATTAAGAATATTTTTTAAACTATGCGACCACTTTCAGGACGAAAATCTCCATGATGTCTTACAAATGCTCATATCTTTGATGTCGGAACATCCCTCATCGATGGTACCCGCGTTTGATGCGAAACAAGGCGTGCGAACGATTTTCAAGCTCTTGGCAGCCGAAAGCCAACTGATACGGTTGCAAGCGTTGAAATTGCTAGGATTTTTCCTCAGTCGCAGTACACACAAGTAAGTGATTCTTTGCAGATAATTTATCGTCTGTGTATGAGGAGACATATACGTCTTACAAGAAAAATATCAACATTATTTAATGCGTAGGCGAAAATATGACGTTATGAGTCCACATAATCTGTATACGTTATTGGCCGAAAGACTCTTGTTAAACGAGGAAACGCTCTCATTGCCGACATACAATGTTTTATACGAGGTTTGTTTATTATCTTCCCTTTTTTATATCGCATTAATATCCGTCTCTCTGACATTTATTTATCACAATTTCTGCTTTGCGATTGATTTCAGATTATGACAGAGCACATCAGTCAGCAAATATTGTACGCTAGACATCCCGAGCCTGAATCCCACTATCGTCTGGAGAATCCAAGTAAGCTGACAATCGATTTGTATTCATAGACAAGTCGGAGACACACTCCGTCAGGAAAGTTATTTTGTAAAAGTATCTAGTTACAGCTACAGTTTTCTTCACTGAAAAAGTAACTAGTTACAGTTATAATTATTTAGAAAGTAACGAGTCGTTACTTTTCAGTTACTTTTTTATAATAATTGTGCTATTATTTTAAATTTTGTAATTGTATAAATTCCTTCAATTTTATATAAAAGTAGTTTGTTGATCATTATATTCCTCATATTGTATATAATTTTGACAAATTACATTTATTAATTTAAATAAGCAATTGATATTTATTCTTTAAGACTATTAATAACAATTATAAGAAAGTGAATGAATTTAATGAGGATAATAAGTACTAAAAATACTAAAAATAATCTTAACATCAAAAATTAGATTTTTTCACTAAAAAATATATTAATATTTTATAAATGAAGAGTTATACTCATATGTTTTCTTAAATTTGTAGTTGAAGTTCTACTTGCATGAATAATTTTTTTGCGAGCGCAAATTTTGCAGAGAAATGCCCAGTTGTTCTCGTTTCCAAATTTTTGCTGTAACTCGAATATTTCTGCATATGCTGGCCATGGCATTTTGCAATCCTCCGAAGATTGAAATGTTTTATTCATTGCTTGAATTTTTTATATAACTGGAACCACGCATCGCATTTTACGCCGAATGCAGATTATGTTAACAAATAAAAACTGGCGACACGCGACGGAAATGTCCAATAGGCAATAATTGAAAAAATTACCAAGTTATCCTTAAATATTTCAACAAATATTAAGCAAATAAAAAAATGTTTCAGACAAAAGTTGTTCAAATTGGTGGAAAAAGACGGTGTAATAAAAAATTTGAGTTTCCATTTAAGATTTTTATGTTGATCTTGACTGGGTTTTTCAAGATCATCTCAAGGTCAAATTTATAACATCAGTAAATAGATTCTTTGAAGCCTTACAACTTTTGTTTGAAACATTTTTTTCTAAAATGTCGCGTTTACGAAAAAATCGGGTGACCCAGGTGGTCTGAAACACCCTATATATGGTAACCAACCCTCCCAATATCTTTCGCGTTTTAGTGATTCTAAAAGTAGTGGCGACACTAATTCGACAATCGAAGCAAACGGAGCAGCTGCTGGAAGTGAAGAAGCTATTCTTGTCGGACATGACGCTGTTGTGTAATAACAATCGGGAGAATCGACGGACGGTCCTGCAGATGTCTGTATGGCAGGAATGGCTCATCGCTATGGCTTACATTCACCCGAAAAATACGGAGGAGCAGAAAATATCCGACATGGTGTATTCCTTGTTCCGCATGCTTCTTCATCACGCCATCAAGCACGAATATGGCGGCTGGCGCGTATGGGTTGATACGTTAGCTATTGTACACTCCAAGGTAAATCAAACAATACACACATTGATATTTGAAGTCTTTTAAAGTTAAGAAGTTTAAATTTGGAAAGGTTCCAGATTAGATCGAAATATCTAGGCAATATTATTAATTAAACCTCTTGACTTTGGAAGATTTCAAATGTCAACATGCTTAATTTATTACACTATAAGATCCTTGCACAGGCTCTTACAGGCTCTTCGTACATTTATTTGATTTGTTATCAGTAGAGTTTTTTTTTTAATTTAGTAACCACAAGGTAAGTTGGTCGGTGGTTCAAAATATCGCTCGAAATGCCCTAACGCCCTCATGATTTTCGATCATGTAGGTCTCGTATGAGGAATTCAAGCTTCAATTTGCCCAAATGTACGAACATTACGAGCGACAAAGGTCCGACAACATTACGGACCCCGAACTGAGGCAGCAGCGGCCGATCAGCACGATTTCCGGCTGGGATCAACAGCATTCCGGCAATAACGGCTACAATAGACCATCGCCGTGGGGCAATCAGCAAAATCATGAGATACAGCACATGGAGAGAAATTACAAGGTAATTTTGCAAATTGTACAACTTCTATTTGACTTTAGCGACTATCTCATCCTCCATTTCGGTAATTCTTTGCAAATTTTATGAATGCAATTTACCCGATTCAACCGATGTAGAATAACTCGTGCCATAATAAACATGAATTAACACAATAACGTTACATCAAAATTATAATTTCCCGAGTGTAATATAACATATGTTGCATACAACAATTACATTGTTGAGTGAGAAGTTATAACACCGATATGTTATTATCACCGACAATATTACCGATTACTATCAGTTGATGTCTACTAACATACGAGCGCAAAGGGATTGAGAGAGCGTATTTGTTAACTTTGACGATATCTCGTATTGTGATGCAGGAGTTCGACGCGTCCGAGGCGAACGATCGATTAGAGGAATCCTGCAGCTGCGACCTCAACTCGATCGACAATACCGAGAGCGACGGTAGCCCGGCCATTGTGAAGTCGCACAGCGAAACCCTGGACACACTGCAATCGTGCGAAGTGGTATCGTTGGACTCCAGATTGAGCGACAAACCAGAAACGCCGACTACCGCGCGCGAGACTCACACGGAGACACCGACTATCCTTGAAGAAGCAAACAGCGAGGCTGTCTCGCTGCCAACTACGCAAGAAACCAGCGAGGTGATATCGATCGAGAGTTCCAGTGACTTCTATAGCGAAGTACACAAAATCGAGAGCTCCAGTCTCGATTCGATGATAGCTCAGGATACACCGAAGAAAGAAGAAAACACGAAGCAGGAGAAGCAGCCGATAGCTGCTGTTGAGCCCTCTTCGACCGAACAGATCAAAGAGAGCGTAAATACGACAGCTGTCGAATCTGAAAATATAAAGAAAATTATAGAAGACACCGACACGCCCAACGCAGTTTCCATGACGATTGACAAAGCCGAAAATCCTCCAGCCGCGGACGCGGAAGAAGCGGAAGCGGAAGCGACGAAGGAGGATAAACCTGTCGATGACGCAACGAATATTGCGAACGATGACAGTAACACCCCGACCAACACGGAAGATTCGATTGTGGCCGCGGCAGCGGTGGAGAATGTGACCGAGTCTGCTGATACGAAGAATGACGTCGACACCGAAGAAGACACTGTGCCAATTGTTCCTTCTGATGAGACACGAGAAGCGCTGACGGTCAAAGTCATCGAGAAGCTTCAGCTGGAGAACGACCGTGAGATAGTCGATAGCGATACGTCAGAAGCGTACTTAACGCCGACCGAGAATCAAGAGAGCTCGAGCGAGATGAGAAGTAGAACGTCCGAAGGCGAGAAAGTCGACGACGACACCGTCGACACCGTCGAGAGGAAGGACATTCCTGAGGACAAGGATGCCACCGCGCCAGAGACCGGCGAGAACGATACAGGGGAAACTGTAAAAAGTCCTAATTGCTCAACTAGCATAGTAGAAGAAAGCGGCGAGGCTCGCGCGGACGCGGTAGATCTAGAGCACGAAGCAAAGACGGAACCAATAGTAGTGAATAGTGCGTTAAGTAGTGACGAATGCGCCGCCGTGAATACTTTAACGGAGGACAAAAGTGCTGTTATTATTGATAACGACGACGCGCAGGTAAACGAGAAACACTCAAGGGAGCCGTCCACTATTTCTACTAGCGTAAGTGATAATAAACTAGACGTTCCGGCGACGACCGGCGAGGTAGAAGTAACAGATAGTGTTTGTAGTAATAGCGATGTTCAAAGTTCTGTAGATAATGTGACGCAAGTGCCAAATCCTAAACAGCAAATCCCAACAATATCTACGGTCTGTGATGCAACTAAAAGTTTATCCGTCGGTGTGCCTCAAATCGTTAGTTCTAATGTGGTTGCCAGGGACAACGCGTTATTGAATGACTTAACTCCAGATCACGTAGACACTCATCGCAGATCCAGCCTGCCGATCGTGTCCACGGACACGGTTGCAGATGACAACGGTCATGAGCCACCTTCCTTGCCTGTGCCCTTACGAAAGACATCGTCACCCCAGAAACGACCAAGGAGTGCCTCAACGTCCACGCAGGTGGATCCGAATCATTTCGGTGCGTTAACGAACCGGCTTTTTCATCTGCCTGTAGTACGCGTTATCGAAAGCGAATGTACTTCTTATTCTCGCTCGTGTCCCTTTCTCTCTTTATCGTAGAAGCTAAGAGGTCGAAGCAAGGAAATCCCTCCACACGACCGATGTTCAGTCCGGGCCCGACGCGACCTCCCTTCAGAATACCGGAATTCAAATGGTCTTACATACATCAACGACTACTATCGGACGTCCTGTTTTCCTTGGAAACCGACATTCAAGTGTGGAGAAGGTAAGAAAATACGCTCGCGCGTCGACGACGTTTGACTTTGGCAGAGTTCTATATACCAATCTCTTCATTCTCTTGCAGCCACTCGACGAAGTCGGTATTGGATTTCGTCAACAGCAGCGAAAATGCCATTTTCGTGGTGAACACTGTCCATCTAATTTCGCAGTTAGCCGACAATCTCATAATAGCCTGCGGCGGTTTATTGCCCTTATTAGCGTCGGCCACCTCGCCAAATGTATGCAAATGATTATTAAACTATGTAACTGAGCCCAAAAAGAGGAATAGAAACGTCCCAGTGCGTGCTTTCATTATCTGAACATTTTTCAGAGCGAATTGGACGTAATCGAACCAACTCAGGGGATGCCAATCGAAGTGGCGGTTTCTTTCCTGCAAAGATTAGTCAATATGGCTGATGTGCTTATATTCGCCAGCTCATTAAACTTCGGAGAACTGGAGGCCGAGAAAAATATGTCGAGTGGCGGCATATTGCGGCAATGTTTACGCTTGGTTTGTATCAATAAACATAAGGTATTTGGCGAATTTATAACGAAGCCATGATAGTTTAATTAGCGAATAATTCGTCAATCTATTTGTAGGAAACATATACTAAATATCAAAGGATTGGGAAGTAATGCATTATTTCCGTAATCCGTTATCGTTACAAAGTTATTTTTTCAGTAACAACTTTTTACTTCTTTCTCATTAGTAACTGTAATGATAATACAATCGCGCATTTCTTGGACAACGATAACAAATATAATCGTCATTTTTATAGTTTTATATCTATATGCAGAGTATGCAGGGTAGACAAAAGCAAGATCTAAAAAAATTTTCAAAACTTGGTGGAAAAAGCAATGAAGTTGTAGCGATCCGTTACTTCTTGAATAACCCCAGCAGTAGTAAATTGTTTCTTTCAGTGAATACGAATAATAATAATGCGTTACTTTTCAAGAGCAACTTTTTCAACCCTGTTGAATATTAGTGCACACGTTAATTATGTTTAGTTTTCTCGATGCATTCGACAGGACATAGAATTTGTAGTATATGAAATCTCTGTTTTAAAAAGAGAGAAATTATCATAATTGTTATATCAATATTAAATTTCTTCCTTATGTTATAGTCATAGTTCCTGAAAAGCGTAAATATGTGAAATAGTCGTAATATCTTTAGACACACACACACACACACACACACATATACCTCAGTCAGCACAAAACTTCTAAAGAACGTCCTGGAAATGTCCTGGGAATGTTTTTAGGACGTTGAGATGTTCTCAGGATGTCCTTAGGATGTCTTCTGGGGACGTTTTTAGGACATTGGCATGTCCTCAAGATGTTCTTAGGACGTCCTTTAGAGGTCTACGCTGATTGGGCACACATACACACATATTTCTTTTTTTAATTAGACATTTAATATCTACATAACATCCTTTGCTATATTTACACCTAATAAACTGCTTCTATAGGTCTGTACATGTGCCGTTAGAAACTGCTTAGAGTGTAAAGAACGTGGCAGGTCGTACAGCATGTTAGGTCGGCAGATTGGTTCTAGTAATAAATCACAACACATACAGTCGCTCATACGTGGAGCTCATACGTCGCCTAAGGTACGTTTCATCGAACTCAATTTAATGACTTTAATGATTATATGCGCCATTGATAAACAACGAACACGTTGCATTTTTCTTTTTCCCTTTTTTTTTCTAGAATACGAAGTTTCTTATTGCTGAAGGATAACTATATTTTTTGCGTACATATTCATTAGTATTTAATAATATACATTGGAATATTCACTTACAGAACATCGTGGACAATCTCACACATCAATTGAGTCCTGTGAAGGATCCGGAGAAATTATTGCAGGACATGGACGTAAATCGTTTGCGAGCTGTAATATACAGAGATGTTGTGAGTAATTTTTTTTATTGTACGCGGTGTCCTTTAACTTCAGCATCTTTGTTTCTTTTAGTAATATGAAAAAAAGTCCAAAAGAAAAAATTATTCAATTTGAAGAAGCAAATATTCTGGAAAGCATATTTTTACAGATCATATTTTGTAAGATTTTGAAATTATTAATTTTTTTAATCGGATTACACATGAATCGCATATTATCATTTTAATGCAGCTATATTACTGCGTTAATGAAAGTATATTATTTCGTTTATAAATATGTCGATCATCTTGAAATTTTATAAGATGACTTTAACCCTTATAGTGCCGAACAACGATATATTGTTGTTAGCAACACTTGCGAAAAGTGCCAACGACGATATATCGTTGCGCACACGATGGCGCCTTACTATTCGCATCGCGAGAGAACTCTGTCTCAAAATAAATTTATAAAACATTATAAATGGTTGGATTCCTCTTCAGAAGTCCTATGTGAGTTGTTCCACAAATTGAAAAAATTGTTTATGGATTTAACTTTCTGTTATATTCCGCGAGGCTCTTGATGTTTGCTGCGCATCATGGGATTATCATTTAATTTTGTGTTTTGATATTAGTAATTTTGTTACAAATAATTGAAAATGCAATATTTATGCTTTATACTACGCGTTTGGCATCAAACTATGATCAAACGACGATTCTTCTTATTTACGAATACTGTTTATAAAAAATAACTGATTTTTCCATTTTTCCTAATGATTTTGAATAAACATTATTAGTATGATTTTTAACAAATGTTGAAATACATTTGGCATTAATTTATTCTCTTTTTATTTCGTAATATGTTCCTTTTGTATTTAGTAAATATTATTCTTACTTTTATGTTTATACTTTTTTTCTCAAACCTTACTAAATTACATCAACTTGGTTCGGTATTCTTCGCTTAGATACAATTCTTTCGGTCGGCACTAAAAGGATTAAAGAAAGAATTCTCGCTTATACAGCTGTATATGTATAACGCAGGAAAACTAAAACAAATTGAATTGGTTACATTGATTTCAGGAAGAAACCAAGCAGGCGCAGTTTCTGTCCCTAGCTATAGTTTACTTCATCTCTGTATTAATGGTCTCTAAATATCGTGACATATTGGAACCACCGATATCGCAGCGTCCTCCAAGTCCAGTGCAAACAATACAGACGAATGGTGCCGGTCTCAGGCCAGGTAGTCCTTCAGGTGAGAATCTTGTCCTTTAGCAACGTCATTGATATTAACTAAAGAATAATCTTTGTAAATATCAGGTCGCAAGATTTGCTAAAATTAAATTACGTCATATATATCTTTAATAAACGTGAAAGATTTATAATCTTAAAGGAAATTTCTGTTTGATCAAAACTCTTATATGTCAGATATATATATATATATATATACATATTTTCTTATCCTTCTTTTTAGAAATTATCATACATAAAGATGCATAAATTAAATTCGATTAGTGTTAAAAAGTGTTATTTCACTATTAGTTTCTGATACTGCAGCATGAAGTTGCTGCTATATTAACGTTTAAAGACCAAAATTTACAATGTGTATCTCGTGATAACGTATCAGCTATAGTTAACAATTGGATAATGCAGAATATTTCGCTGTTATCGAAAAATCATTGTGTAATCTTTCAGTAACTTTTCAGCCGTGGTTTAGCTAATCGAAGCAGTCTCCGTTGCAATAATGTTTGAAATGAATGAGATATACAGTATAGATGTTATAAATAGAGTGGACATATGTGTACAGATATGTAGCTAGTGTTCACAACACTGTGCACCAGAAACGATGTAGTTGGGACTGAAACAACAGCACATGACACCAAGTAGAACGCATGTGTTATATTGCACTGTATGAAGTAAACATCCTATATGTATCTGACAGTGAGAGTTTTGATGTTTGCCGAATGTGTTTGCACTACTTTGCGCTATAAATATATTCTTACGTCGTTATATTATTGTGACTGTATTTTCTTGAATGTGAAACTTCTTTATGTGAGGAATTTTCTCGGAAACTAGATGTCTCTATGACTGCGCTGTTACACGATTAATACTTGGATGTTTGACAGACCAACGAACGATTATGCCATGAGGTCAATTCTCTATCTAGAATGTTACATTCCGGTTGTTGATTATTGTTTCGATGAGAGCGCTACGAGTGTTTAATTAGATATTTTAAATCGGTGCAAGCGATGTTATTATTTTCTTATTTGTACAAATTCTTAAAAATCTGTATTAAAATCTGTGTTATCGGGCGAAGCAAAACCGATTATCAATTTACAATTATTTACAACTTATAAAACGATACGTACTTAAAATGATGAGTTTTCACGTACTGAATTTCACTCTATGTGAGTGGAATGAGTCGATTATAATTTTAATACATGTTAAATTTTATATGTTGTTTAATTTACAATTTGATATATTTGTTATAATCCATAAATATTTAATGAAAAAACTTTTTTCGAATGGGATAGTTGTTGATTTAATAACATAGTTTTTAATTCTATACGCGAAAGACATGCACCGACAAAAATAATATAATTTCGCTGTTACTTATCCACATTTCGAGTCGCAAATTTCTCTTTACTCATCGAGTGCATAGAGTGAGAGGCAGTATTGAAATTATGTTACGGATTGCGAGCGATAGAGATGATATAACGCACGATCCGATAACGTGGTAAATGTGGTTCCTCGGCAGATGGGAATGGTGGTGGAGGAGGGCGGCCCTTATTTCCACAGTGGTCTCACCACGTGTACCCACAGTTCCTCCCGGGATCTCACCCTAACGCCAATGCGAATGCCAATGCCAATGCCAACCATCACATCAATCAGCACCATCACCAGCACCCGCTACCGGCTGCCAGGCACTCTAGTCGCCAGCCACCTTCCAACTATTATCTCCCGAATCATCACAACAATCACTACAATCATCACCCGAATAATCATAACTATCATCGCCATCATTACCATCACCACAATAACAACAACCACCACCATACGCTTCAAAAGCATATCGATCAGCCCCGAAATCTCTGTCATAGAAACTCCGGTGTCGGTCTGCAAGGTAACTCGAAAGCCCGAAAGCTGTTTCACGGAATGCTCCGAGTTCTTTCTTTCGCCTGATTTATCGCGCAGCTCTTCCTCTGTTTGTCTTCCGTTGACTTGCAATCTGCACGAGACGCTTATCGTAATATCAGCGAGTCCTTGCCGAGCCTTCACACATTCTGATTTCCTCGATGTCACCTCGATGTTACACACGGCCATTGCCGATTCATTGTGTCGTTGCAAGTCTCGTTAACTTACCTTAAGAGAAACGTTACACGGATGGCTGAAAGAAGCTGAAGGAAAAGTTTAGTATTAGTTTGTTCCTCGTTCGCTACCCTCTTGACTATTTGTATTAAATGACTGATCGATCAATTTCGGCCAACCTTTAATGACTCTTGGTTGCACAATTTATTTTATTGATGTCGTTTAGTCGACAACCTCCGAAAATTTGCGCTGCATGTTGTGCACACACATCGATTACTTTGGATCATTCTCAGCATATTATTGTGGAAATAGCGAATGAAATTAATTAATTGCTTGTTACATAGCATGCACTTTAAGTGTACGTTTTTATTGTATCATTCTTGTCTATGAGTGGCAAAGCATATAAATACGGCTAGAATATTATTCGTTAAAAGTTAAAGAATTAAAGAGATTGATGAAACGAAGATAACGCAAAAGTTGTTCATACGAAAAATCGTTCACTGTAGTCGGCTAAAATGGCACGCCGTTTTTGGTGTAGAGAAAAGTTTTACTTTCATATAATCATACAATTTGCTGTTATTTGTCGTTGTGCCACAAATAATATTTATCACGACTTATTTTGTGATTGCTTGGATATTTTGAGTTAGCCGATAAATAGATGCTTATGTAAATGTTGCGTCCTGTGATGTTCCTCGTGAAATATTGCATATCTCTACGTAAGAAGATCTACGAGGAATGTTTGCGTCCCTTTTTTTTTATCATATTTACATAAATACTGCAATCCACTGTATGACCTGGTACAATCTTATTATGTCATCGAGTGTGTTGCGAAGTACAAAAACTATATTAATACCATGTTAATCGTCGTTTTATGCACTGTATAAAAAGAAGGAAAAAGAAAAAGACGAATTTCCCATTTTGTTAAGTTCGTTGAACGCATGTGTATGGATATCGACTGGCTTTGCGCGAAAGACCCGCATATTTTTTCAATCTTTAATATTACGTCTCGTTCGCGTGTTCTTAGGTAGCGGAGGAGGTATAATGAGCCAGTCGGGTTCTCAAGATGACGGTGAATACGAGGTCATCATCGTCGACGAGAACAATTCTTCGATTTTGGCCGACCACGATGTGACATCGTCGGGTCCGCCGTCGACCAAGGTAAGTTAACTCGCATAACTCGCGACTACCCGAAATTCTGAAATACAACCTGAAAAGAATGCGACAGACACTTGTTCTACCGAACAAATTCGAAAGAAGTGTACAGCGAGAATAATTGAACCGAAAATCTCAGGTAAAAGCCTTGTGAATTCCGTCAAATATGGGACTCGATAGTAATTATGTATATACATATACATATATATATATATGTATATATATATATATATATATGTATGTATATATATATATGTATGTATGTATATATATAGTTTGATCGATACGAAACTGTACTTCTGGTTCTCTACGAAGTTATGACGATTTTACTTGAGACCACTTGCATGCACTTTTGATAGAACGAGAACGTAGAAACAGGACTCGATGTTTCAATTTGTCGCTTTACACAGCTCTACGTAGCGAGTACGATCTGCGTGTCTTTCTAAACGTTCAATTGTACGTCTTCGAGACTCTGTCCTGAATACCTTTGCGTTTATGCTCGATAGTTTCAAGTGACATTAGCAGCGAAACTCTAGCACCTTTCCATTACGCACTTGTACGGGATATTCACTGCAACGATGACCAGATATATTGATGCCATCGCACGATGCTTCGCACTATTTTATTATACTCGTTACCACTCGTTACTTCGGCGATAAGCTAGAAGGAATTTCCCCATCGAAATATTCAGTATATACCGTATAGTTACAACGGATGAACTTGAAGATTGCTATGTTAGATTCACGTTAAGACTCGATAAGGTAAAAACTAAACGTCTTTCAATGTTAACGTTCAATCGGCACAATTATGCAATTGCGATGTTTCTTTGTGCTGTCCCGTCAACCGTACGAGCCCCAACAATGTAGTATATATATATATATATATATATATTTATTGTTCTTAAATCTCCCCTCGATACAGTTATATATAATTTACAACGATTTCTCGAAACCTCCCGTAGTTAAACATTTCTTGCAATGCCCAGCATGTAGTGTTCACTTAACGATTGGTGTCTTGCATCTACGTAGCCCCCAACGTAATGACCATATTTCGATTTATTATGTATCTTCTCATAATGATTATATCTCTCGCACGTGACACGTATTACCTTACATTACGGACATTGAGATTCGGCATTACATTCGAGGCGCGACCGATCAGAATTGCGAATTGATTCGTTTCGCACACATGTCCACACCTTCGAACGTCTGATAGCCGTATATTTGATCTTACCTGTGACCCCATATCGAGCATGCGAGACTCTTTGACTCTTGAATTTCTCTCATTGTTAACTTCCTCTGCTTGCATTGCTATGCGTACTAACTACTGGTTCTGAAGGGAGGTCACAGTGGTGTACCTCGGCCGCGGACTATTCTTGAGGATTACACCTCATCAGAACCAACGCTTGGCACTTCTACAAGGTCCGAACCACTGCCACGAAATCTGCAGGTAAAACTTAATCAGAGTAACAGATCCGGATGAGAGACGTTGAAAGAGAGAGTGGGGGAGGGGGGGAGGGGGAGGGAGTACGGTCCCTGGCATTGTTGACACGACCGAGTTAGAAATATTTTGAGACACCTTGAGACTTTCTTACATTTCGATTCCCGTTTGAACGAAAGAATGCGAGAGAAAAAGAGGATAACTCAACGGTAACGCGCAGCAATGCCCAATCGACGGGTGCGGGAAAGAACGAGCGATCACGTTTGACTCGACTTACATCCTCTCCGACGCTTACATAATGTTGCCGTAGTGTAATATATATACGTAGCGGTTCTTACACACGCGTACAATCACTTGATCATATTCTACGTAGAATCACTAAGTTCGCTGTCAGAGCTTGAATACATAAAAGGCTTGGTTCTTTCTCTTTCTATGATATATTAGTTGATTGCATAGTAGTGGTGTATACTACTAATTGCATGTAACGAAGTAAGTACATGGCACGCGAGAGTTTATCGTGAAGTATGACCGTATGGAATTATCTTAAGAAACGTTTGTGTGGTATCAAATATAGCTAGGTACTTTTTTTTTCCGCTAGTAACACAGATAATTCAGAGTATTGTAGTAACATAGTGTTCCCAATAAATGTATCCGAATAGCCTTGCGTAATATGAATAGTCAACGAACGTTCAGGAGTTACTCGCTAAACCGACAATATTGAGCACAACGTGCTTGACGGAAAATTCGGACAACGTTATATAATCACATGTTTTTTTACAACGTAATATTATAACAGTATTATCTCACGGTTGCGATTTAAATTAAACACACGTACGCATCGTAACTCGAGTGTGTCTTATTTTTTCCCTTCTCTTTGATCGACTTTCTCCCAGAGCAACGACTCCAGCGAGGAGACTGTACACCGCAGTAACATAACCGCGGATCCGAGTCCTTCCGAAGTCACCACCGACAACGAAAACAAGCACAATTCGTCCGAGGAAGCCTGGACCGACGTAAATCTTAATGAGGATGGCGACACGATGCCGATTACGAATCCGAGAGAAGATCCGCGTAATATTCACAATATCGCTCACTCGCGTGGTAAGACACTTCAGACAAGTACACGAATGAATTCTTGTAACTTAACGTTAAAAATATCATATGGTTACTCTTCACCATTTTAGTTTCCTTAATTAATTAATTGAAAATGTTTTTGTTTGGCATAAAAGACGACTGTTTGATTCTTTTAATGAGTAAGACAAATGTTGTTATTATTAGCAGAAATTGAAATCGGTATCAAAAATATCGTTCGTATATCGGTCATTTATCGATGCCACATATTATTTTTCCGATATTACGCATTTATCATATTTTTCGGTATTATATAGGGTGTCCCATTTTAAAAGAGCCAGGCAAAAATCTCGAAAAATATGAAAGATACTAAGAAACGTCTCAGACAAAAGTTTTATGGTTTCAAGGGGAACGTAAAATAACTATATTAGTTTGTTTACAGATGGTGTCACTTTTGAGATATCCACTGATCATTACTTTTCTTAAATGGAAACCCGAATTTTTTATTATATCATCTTTTTCTACCAATTAATTTGAATAACTTTTGTTTGAAACACTCTTTTATTTTCCTAATATTTTTTGAAATATTTAAGGAAAACTTGATAAATTTTTCAATATTTAACTTACGATATCTCGCTAACTATTTGTCTCTTGTATTTGTGGAAGCAAAAGTGGTACTAGACGTTTTTACTCTACTTGGTCTCAAGAATATATTGTTACAATAGTGCCCTAACTTTTGTTAATTTGATGATTTTGAAATTTCCAAAGGTCGATAAGTTAACAAAAGTTAGGGCACTATTATAACAATATTCTTGAAACTAAATAGAGTAAAAAACTTTTTTAAGATGATAAGTAGAGTAAAAGGTTTTCTTAAGTGGTAAACAAAATGATATAGTTGTTTTATGTTCTCTTTGAAGCCATACAACTTTTATCTGAAATGTTTCTTAGTATCTTATATTTATGGAGATTATTGCTTGGCTTTTTTAAAATGAAACACCATGTACAAGAGGAAAAAACCTATTGTATAAATACCGATATTATAAGATTTCTGATATAATATTGGTATTAATAATTTATATTCGGAAGAAGATAATAGCAAGCTGTGGATATAAAAAATGTTTACTTTCGCACTTTTTTGCAAATATTTGCAATTATCTATCATACAAGTTGATGTGTTATATTCGCCTTCGAAGAAGTATTGATAGATTAGGTTCGCGCGTACAATGTTATTCTCATATTATTGATTTTATGTATTATAATTATTAATGCAAAGCTATCAGGTTACAATACGACACTATCGTAGATTCAATGCAAAGGGTAAACATTAATTCTCATTGTTATATTGCGTTCCGGTCAGAAATGCATGTCGAATTCATGCATGTTACTTCCTTTCTGCATTTCCTCGTCAAACTATTACATCATGATTACATTTTGAATCCGATTGATTTAATGGTAGTTACATTCAATAATGTAATAATGTGTGATAACACCGATCTAATATTAATATTATATCGATATCATATCAAAATTTGTAATACCAGTATTAAGGTAATGTGTAATGTGTCTCAATTAGTAATCGAATAACATCATTATGAAAATGTTAAAAATTGATAAATTATTAATATACGATGTAATAATACGCCTTTAAAATAAGTACATCAAAATGATTTTGTTGAAAGATTTAAACATTTGGCATTTCAATCGTGTTATATTTTATAATTTATGCGAAAATTTTTAAATTTTTTCTATTTTTTGAAAAATGACTGAAGTACCATTTAGTGACACGATGGCTTAGTTTTATTTTTCCATTGGCAATTTTAAGGAGACAGTTTCGGATTTAGTTTGGATGTTGAAGAATAACTGCTGTAACAGATTTAATCAAATAAACATCTGATATCAACTACCCATTTCTAAGATTTATTAAAGAAAACTGATGTAATTTTTACAAATTGAGACACTGTCACTAATTGTGACATTTACCTTATATCGGTATTATCGAGAAATAACGTATTAAGTATAAGAAAAACCGATATATATAACGGCGTTATGAAATCGCAAATAAAATAGCAAAATAACTTCGATATTTAGTCTCTTGTTACTAGTCATCAATACTTTGTGTAAAGCAAAACGTGTCTTTCGAAACTCACAGGCGACATGCAAGACAGCGAGGGTAATGTTTTGGAACAAGAGATGCTCGGTAATGCGGAACGCGGGGAGAAACCGTCCGCTGAGATTTCTGTGGTGCGAGTACCCGATCGGTTGGTGGTGACTGCAGCGTCACCGAGAGCTGATGAATTGCCGATTAAAGGTCTGGTCGATCATTTGCCGGTACCGACACCCTCGCGCGAGGCCTCTCTTACACAAAAGCTGGAAATGGCCTTGGGTTCGGTTTGTCCTCTTCTTCGGGAAATTATGGTGGATTTTGCCCCATTCCTATCCAAAACACTCGTTGGTTCTCACGGTCAAGAATTGTTAATGGAAGGAAAAGGTACGAGTTGCAAGGGTATGTCAAATGTATGGTCACTTTTCCGTGTGTTCAATGTGAGTGTATGTGTGTGTCTTGCTCCGACAAGCAGAAATGTGCCGTCTGTAAAGTCATTCTGTAAAGACGCGCAGTGTGATATCGTTGCGCTACACCTTAATTAAAGTCAGATATAACAGCATATTTACTTCGCGGCTTTCGTATATTCTACGTTTTTTATGAGTGTATAATGTGATTTAGAATGTCCGAAGCCAGTTAGATAAAACGAGCATATTTCGTACTACGTTGAATTTTATTACACGAGCAATAGTCGTAACGCAGTTCACGTTTTTCGAAGCGACATCGAGATATATCACATTCATAGGTCGAAAAAGGTCATAAAGGACACCGGGGAACACTGAAATTCGGCTATCCTGCCGCAGATGTAATATTTTTGCGTCAATATAAACGTGTTTGTTGTGAAAAAATAATAGCGAAGTTTAGCTAATTAATATATTATGCTGTCGTTAAAAGATAAAAAAGGGAAATCATAAAGATAAGAATTCGACTATTGCTCGTGTAAAATTTAAAATTGTACATTTAGATATGCTTCTGCGATAAACAAAAGTCGAAAATACGTCCGCGAACACACTCGGCGAGACCATCGTCACTTTTATACTCCGGCTGTTTTTCTCTCTTTCTCTGTCCCTCCCCGTATCTTTTTCCCTACGCCATCTCACACCGAATATTCAAATTAGTCATTTTATGATTTCGCTTTAGGAAGATGGCAAGCGTATTCCGAGTAATCGCTCACCATTAGTATTCAACATGCGTGTAGAGCCGATTCCCGCAGATTTTAAATTCAACAAACGTGGCGGTTGATGGTCTCGCGACGTATCGACGCGCTTTATTTTTAACAACGCCCGATACACCGAACGACCTTCGTAAATCACGACGACGTCCGTTTTCATTTTACGCGCGTGTGTGCGTTTCTTTTATCGTTCATTGTTATTCGCGTGTTTATCGTTTATTCGTTTAATGGCACCTCGTCTCATAATTCGCCAGGTTTGACAACATTCAAGAACAGCAACTCCGTCGTGGAGCTGGTTATGTTGCTCTGCTCTCAGGAATGGCAAAACTCCCTGCAGAAGCACGCGGGTCTCGCTTTCATCGAGCTCATTAACGAGGGAAGGTAAGACGTTTATTACGGTTAGGATGCGCGCGCGCAAACAAAACGAGAAACAAAAATCGTACGTTCTCGTTTCCCTACATGAAAATCATTTCTTCGCGTTTCACAGGTTGCTATCTCACGCGATGAAGGATCACATAGTGAGAGTCGCAAATGAGGCAGAGTTCATTTTGAACAGGATGAGAGCGGATGACGTACTGAAGCATGCTGACTTTGAGGTATCGCTTGCGTTTCTCCTCGCTATTTAATTGCTCTGTAAACAGACACGACCAGTTTTGTCGTTGTCGTTGTCGTCTTCGTCATCGGAAAGTCGTCGAGTGAGCGTCAATTCTAAGCGCCAGCGCGACGACGCTTTTTTTAAATATAAATCGACGCTATTAGTGAGCCTGAAAAAAGAGAGTCACACAACGTGTAACTACTTTCGTGTTGTTCAGTCTCAGTGCGCTCAAACATTGCTGGACCGACGGGAAGAGGAACGCATGTGCGATCATCTGATCACCGCCGCACGAAGACGCGACAACGTGATCGCCAGCAGATTACTGGAGAAAGTCCGCAACATCTTATCCAATAAACACGGCGCCTGGGGATACATGGATCCAATGGCTGCAAAGTAAATGCAAACGTGCCAGTTAGATTGCAAGAAAAAGAAAAGAATAGAAAAAGAAATAAAAAATTCGGCTACTTTCTCTGGAAAATCTTTTCAGCCGAACTAGTGCGCTTAAACTTCGTACCTTTTTCCTTTCAACGCTATTTCATATGCTTGTTTCATGTAACGACGAAAAGCGCTAAAACTAGTTCAGCTGGAAAACTAATTTGGCTAAAGAGGACAGGCTTTACACCTCGACGAATTTTCGTTGTCCGCAGATTGGCCGAATATTGGAAGCTGGATGCTTGGGAGGATGATGCACGTAGACGCAAGCGTTTCGTGCACAATCCACTAGGCTCGAGCCACCCGGAGGCTACTCTTAAGGCGGCTCTAGAACACGGTGCACCCGAGGATGCGATACTTCAAGCGCGTCAAGAATTTCACGCGCATCTCGCAGCCTCGCGTGCACATCAACAACAATTGCAGTCGGCGGATCTTATGGACGACAGTGAATTGCTGTCGGACGACAGGGACCTCGACAACGATCTGGCAGGTCGGTCGGCGTCGTATTTCTGATAAACGAGACGCGACACTTTAATAGCATATTATGCTCCGGCACGAACCGGTTTTTGTTCCGTCACTTTTGTCCTGCAATTTCGATGAATTTATTGTTTTAACGCCACACTCGTCGATTGTTATTTGTTATTTCGAGCAGCTGCGGTTAATTTTCAATTTCCACACCGTGTCATGGTTCTCAGTATCGTGGCTCTCAATAGGGCTTTGATATTTATCCGAATTTGACCAAGTTGAGGAAAATCACAAACTTTTATACAATAATTAGATTATTGAGACGTTGGGGACTCGAGTTTCAGTATATATGCAATTTTTACACTGTCTGGATTATTCAAAGTGAATATTCACAGTGGATAAATGTAACTCTGCAAATTCGGATTATTCAGAGAATAATTATAGGGAAATCGGCTAAACATGTTCGCGATAATAAAGATCCCTCGAGAAAATTTGATAATCATTAAATCAATATTATTAACTGCTACTTAATGACTTGCCCTGAGATGATTGTGCTTATTTATATATGTGAACAACCATTATTTTGGATAATTTTATTATTAAATTGATCCCTTTTTTTAATTAATTCGAATCCAAATCTCGGTTTTAGATTCGAATCTCTTCTTCTTATTTGAATGCATATCTGAATATTCAGATTATTCCAATAATGCAATTTTGAGTTTCCGAATCAGAACCAATTTCTAATATCTCGGGAGAGCTTTAGTCTGTCATTTAATATTATTGATCACTTTGCTATGTTATTATTATTTACACGCAACTAATTGGATTTCTTTTTTTTAGGTCCGGTGAACATCAGCACGAAAGGCAAATTGATCGCACCCGGTATCGTGGCGCCTGGCATCATATCGGTAACATCTACGGAGCTGTACTTTGAAGTGGACGAGGACGACCCAGAGTTCAAGAAAATCGACAGTGAGGTAAGCATTACTTGTATAATACTTGTTGATAGATGGAAAAGTATTCAGGGAAATACACAACAGACACTCACATTACACTCGACCTACATATATTTCGATATATAGAGTGTCTCATGTAAAATCACAGTCGCCGAAACGGTCGTATGGAATAAGTTAAACCGTAGGAAAGCCCTTTTCCAAACGCATTTTTCAAACAACTACGTAAAATTTCAAATTAATTGAAGTCAAGTTGAATTAGTAAAATTTTCTAATCTTCTTTAGCTAATAACTGGAAATCTTACGTTGTTTAAAAAATGGAAGAGGACTTCTACTACTTGCGCGATCTGCGCAATCACATAGAAAATGGCTGACTGCGCGATCGTTTCTTGATAGCGACTACCGGTATCGGATGACAGCGAAAGGCGAAGAAAAGATGCAAGCGACACGTAGACAATTGTTTGCTGTAGGATCCGATACTGATCGCAGCTAAGAGATGATCAGCCATTCTTATGCGATCGTGTCGTCTTGCGTATCGCGTTTTAACTTGCTTCTTTCGCTAATAACTCGAAATTTTACATGGTTGTTCGAAAAATGGGGTGTATGACTTTTTTACTCATTTTGACTCGTTCTATTCGCACATGAATTTTGTCATGTTAAGATGGACACCCTGTATGTATACACATACATATATGTCTTTTCAGTATATGTTTCTTCGTGAAGTATCGCGACCTGTTTATGTAATATTGGCAATTCACCGTTTTATCTCGTCTTCTTTTCGTTAAGACGGGGAATATATGTATTTAAAACAAGTTGTTACGTTCGCGGTATTATCTTTTTGAAATATAGTTACCGGGTTGTCTTGGCGATAAGGCTGTTTTCCTCTGAAAGTCGATGTCGTAACGCAAAGGATACATATATATACATATGTATATATATTATAATGCTTTATAAGGTGAATTGCACTGTCGAAGGCAACACCTTTAGAATGGTAAACCTTGCTTTCATAATGCGTTAATTGATATTATTTCGGCTAAAAAGTACGTTAGTTCCAAGTTAACTTCTTAGTTCCGTTAACACTACAAATACTTTCTGCCTTTCTGTTGAGATATAAAGAAAAACTTGTTTAATATTTGGACATTTGCAGCAAAATAGGAAAAGCCTGTATATCGTTGTATATCTCTAGGTTCTTCATTAACTCCTCAAGTACTATATTAATATATCAGAGCCGAAGTTTCGACTCGGAGTTTTCTATTGACTCTACTATTCTCCTTCGACTTTTTTGTCGTCTATTGATAGCGCGTCTTTATCAACACGCGCATTAACACCGTGCCTCCGTTTTAAAACCGTGCACGGTATATAATAGCGACGCCCAATATTTACATATTAAATATTTGACATAATATTTTACGCTGCTCTCTCTTTCTTCCTCTCTTAAACTGACAAACGCGAGAGCCTAAGGTAGCTGCTCATAACGAAGAGTATCAATCACTTCGACCGGCGTAGAATTTGAATAAGTGCGCGTCGTAAATGATGAGACGTGGCGAAAGCTTCCACGGCACCACCGGTGGAAGTAGATTCTGGCTAGAATTAGTTCGGACGTGTCCCTGTCTATCAGTGTCCATAAGGCACCCTACATTCAGTTTATACAATAAAAAAGAAAACGGAAAGAAGGAAGCCGCGACAAGGGAGTACGAGAGGAAATCGAGAAAGAGTGAGTGTGTGTGGGAAAAAGAGAGGGAAAAAGTGAGAGAGAGAGAGAGAGAGAGAGAGAGAGAGAGAGAGAGAGAGAAGGAGGGAGGGAGGGAGAGGGAGGGAGGGAGGAAAGGAGGAAAGGGGAGAGAGGGGAAGGGAGTGAGAGAGTGAAGGAGAGAAAGGCAAACTGGAAGAACTAGAAGGACGATTATCATATATCGGTCGTAGATCTCGCGTTTGTATAACTAGGGAATAAAACAAACAGAGAAGGGCCCCATGGGGTCGACCGATCTTCAGGGTCGGCAATTATGAGCCCCCCGCGGGGTCCGGTATCTGCCTACCCGCTCTTCCGTCTCTCTCCCTCGCTATCTTCCATCGCCTCGCGCGCCACGTACTAACCACACATCGATGGCATACATGAACAAACAGCTTTTCAGGAATGTACTGAAACCACCACACTTTCCCACCTAGCGGATAGACCGGGCGATCCCGGTAGAATCGCATGTCCGGCGCGGCGTACAAGCGAAATTCACGGAATTTGCATCTCGACGTCGATGATGGAAATGCATAATGTCACTCGGCCGGTCGTCGATCACACTTCAAGATTCTGTACATTTGCACAATAAACATGTTCGCGTGTTTGTCGACCACATGAACTCTGACCATGGGGTTAGATCGACGCCGCGGTGCATCGCGACGACTCTGTCTGTCGTGCTCTTCGAGTAGTTCTCTGTGAATTTCGCCAGCGAAATTTGGCCGACACGATCCTGTCACCGAAGTTCCTCGGGTCTTACCCGAGGATTTCACTGTGCGTCCACCTGTCGTTCCTGTTACAACTCGAGCGGCGAACATGCTGCCCTGTGAATAGGACGCATCAACTCATTCCGGGCTTCTCTTAATTGGAATCCTCCTTGAGAAGGAACGCGCTACGCGCGCACCTGGAAGTGAAGAGAGAAAGAAGAACGCGAAAGGGAGGGAGACGAAACGTACGGCGCGCGAGGGAGTGCGAGGCGAGGACGAGGCGGGGACGAAGATAGCGAAGAGAAGACCGGTCGTTCACGATCGAGACACGCTCATTAGTTGAGGATGTCCCGAGGGTAGGCGGGAGGCTTCGTCGAATTCGTAGGCGATGGATCACTCGATAGTCGAGCCGAGACTTAAGCGATCGTAATGCGCGGCCGCAGAAGAGGATGCACCCAGGAGTGGCCCCAGGGAGGGACTGCATATCGGACCGTATGCGCTGTTGCACCCTTTTGTGTACCTCCTCGCTGGCCTCCTCCTCCTCGCCGATCGCGCCGATTCCTCCCTTCCTTCCTTCGCCTTTATAATGGCCCAGGCAAACGTATTTATCGTGATTTATCGTTTACACGGGTCTCTCCTTTCTCTCCCGCCTCACCGTTGCCTTTTCCTTCTCCCCCTCTCTCCTTCCCCCCCCCCTCTCTCTCTCTCTCTCTCTCTCTCACTTTCCCTCTCCCACTCTTCCTCTCTCCATCTCTCTTTTCCTTCCGTCTACTCCCTCTTTTCTCTCTCACTCTTTCTCTTGCATTATCTTTCTTCGTTCTGCAGCGTCATATGTTAAAGATAGAGAATGCATACCGTACGATTACGTCGGGAATGAATTATCGATAGACCGCGAGAGGTATTAATATCTAAAACAAATATAATCACCGGCGTGGCGTCCCGCGCTTCCCGCGAATTGCTAATACTTTCCGTTTGAAATTCGACGGAGAAATCGCTCGTCCTCGGGTAATTGATTGCGGAATCGTACGAGCGAATTGATGATTATTCATGTTGCGCGCGTCTCGTACATATCATTTGGGCAAGATTTATGTCGTATAATTACTCGCGATGACGCGTATAATAATGACGTGCCGTCGTCGTCGCGAGCGTGTACACGCTGAAAATTGAGTCGCCACTTGGCTTAATCTCAGGGGCAGCGTAGCGCGGAGTGTCGTAAAGTAATAACTGATTTCCCGCGCCTCTTATTAGCATTCATCGTATAGAGGCTTCTCGACGTTTAGAGCCATAACACGCGTATTCCGCGTGTGAGAGGGGCATAAAAGTTAAGCCTCGTACTCCGCGCACAATGCGGCGGAAAAATGAAATTTATCGACGCCGCGCTCTTACTCGTTCGCAAACTCCTCGCGTTGTTACATGTTATTTACACGCGGCGGCTTACCCGACGGATAAATCGTCAAGCCGGCTCCTACATATTCTCGCGCAATCTTCCATGAACGTACTTGAGGGAAAACGGTTTGCCGCCATTTGCCGCAAACATAACAGACGACGAGAGAATTCGTCCGTCGCTTCGGCTTTGAGAGGGTAGGTCGTGCGGGACATTAAACTCCGCCGCCGCTACGTCGCGGCGAATCGCGCAGCTCTCATTTTTATGGAAACCTGCTCCGTGGCGCCTAAAGCTTCTTTCTCGTGCTATAGTTATCACAGACACACGCTGCGAATATCCCCATGGGATGTCCGTGCAGCGCGCGCGCGCGCGCGCAAGAGAGAGAGAGAGAGAGGAGACGGAGGCTGGAAGAGAGCGAGGGATATAGCAGCCGGACAGGTGGTCCATGCCGGTACATCGGTGCATGCTCATTCGCAAGGAAGATACCATTAACGAGGGATATATAGTGCCGCGAAAAATCCGAGACATCGGACCGTTTATCAAGGATCGCGAATAGAAACTTCTCTCTGCGGATCACGCGGCGCATCTCGCCGGAGATCTCCGCGGCTCGTATCTCGCAGATACCACGGCTGCATCTGCATGTGACTTATTTTCCACTCGTGCTTATTAATATCCGTTTCATCATACACATTCGTCTGGAACAATGCGCGAAGGAGAAAAAATGATCGGATACGGCCGATTGTCGCGCTCTTCGCCGGATATCGACGCGGGGAAAAATTCTCTATCTGGCGCGCGCGCGCGCGCTCGTGCGAAAGATTAAACAGGAATGACAGGAGGGCGGTGACCGAACACACGGCGATTTTAATACTATGCGTCCGCGGCCTTCTTTGGCAATGCATATGTATGATAATTGGCGTGATGTAGTACAAGTGACGTTATAATAATGCGACTGTAATTATTCTGCGGTTGGGTCGCGCGCGCGCGCGCGCGATACTCTCTGGCGGAACTGTCCACCTCGCTTTAACCACGGCCGTCGAACGCGACCGCGCGCGCGACCGTATCTTTCGCCATTAATTCCCGCGCGTTATCTTCGCATCTAGCGATCATGAACGCGTGCCAATAAATAACAAAGCCTGTCAGCTACTCCCGCGGCCGATTGCCGGCCTGCCGCTCGTTCCTTCGATAAAGAGACTCGCTTTTCCTC